CACCAAGAATGTGACCTTGCACTCAAGCTATAACCCAACATTCTGTCAGCACAGGAGTTGCTCCCCCTTTTAAAAGAGTACATGTATAGCCTCAATCTCACCATAGATAATGTTAGATCACTTTTTTACTTGGCAGCTAGCACCTCTAGAGAATAAATGATTCAGATATCCAGCCAAAGATCCTCAAGGAAAAGTCAAGAGCAAGAAATTAAATTGACCCTAAACAAAACAGACCGGTAAGTAGATGCCAGGTGCATTATAGAACAGAATAGAGCTGAATAGAATATAACAAATATACAATAGAATAGATGTTTGTTTTGTTTCCCCCAAACCATCAAATCCACATCCACAAGACAATAGTTTAATTCACACTAACCTGGCTTCATTCATACATGATGGCATCAATTAACCAGATCCTACTGTTATAAAAGCATGTTAGTCACATTGTCCTGCCAACATGTTTTTCACCAGACAGACACCGGACCATTTTCATTCATCAAGGACTCGGTCAAAATTACAGTGGCTCAAAATAAAATGTTATTAGGGTAGCTATAGCAATAATCAACCTTAATATTTGCTAGTCAAAACCTGGCACGAATCAGTAACCTGATGAAAGACTAGCGTTTTACAAAGACATGCTGATAGAGGATAGCCTAATGTCAAATGTGGATAGACTGTATTTGGCCTAATGTTATGATACTACTGTTATAAACACACCACGACAATGAGCAGACATGAACGGTACAAATCGTCCCCCTACCTTCTCCTTTCACTCTCGAACTGTCAAACGCCGCAGCCTGCCGCACAGGAAACAGACGTATTTTATTTTATCCAAGATTATTTATTATATTGACAAGATGGTCGAGTGACCTCTAACAATGGAAATACATGTACTTAAAGATGGAAGGCAGGCGAGATCAGGTGGGACCATTATAGCCAATGAGAGGGCAGATACGCGTGAGACGGAACAACAGGCACAACTCCGATACTCACTAATAATAAGGAATTCCCCTCGACCATGCCGACAAAATGGGGAAAACAAAAGTATTTCCAATTGACCGCCATTGTAAAAGAGCCAACTTCGTTGTACATATTTTGTTAAACATAAATTACAAAACATGCCGAAAAGCTGCTGTGTTGTTCGGAGTGGGAAATGTGGGGACCCAGTGTCCAAGTAGGCTACACGTAGCCATGTGTGTGAAAAACATTTAATCACAGGTAAGACATTTAACTTGTTTACTATAGTCCGTTTGTAACTCCACTCACTACTTGTAGCTGTATAGTCTTTTTGTTTGTGTTGTTGGTCTTGGCTATCTTAATGTTCCGTCGTCGGTAGTTAGCATTCACGTGGCTGCTATCATGAAAAGGGGCATGAGGGAAGCCCTACAATAATGTTTTTCCTAAGTAGTGAGAACGCTTGGGATCAGGCAATGATGAAAAGTAATCTTTAGACATGTACTTTAAAGTTGTTTTTTCAAAGTTGCCGAAATTCCACGTGCGTCCACTTATATCCGTGCATTACGAAACTTTTATTTGATCAAATAAGCCGTATGTAGCAAATAAGCAAATACTTTTTTTGTTGACCAAATTCGGCAACTCTCATTGACCTTCATACAGATTTTGGGCGGAGTAAACTCTCGCTTCGCCTCTTCCTCTCTGATCTCATGGACCGTCTACTTCCGCTAACGAACTGACCACGAGCCAATAGGAATGGTGTTCAATAGTACCACAAAACACCTTATCATTTGGATGGGCTTTGATAAATGCCCCTTCCATTGGCTGATAGGCGATGAGTATATCCAGATACTTCAAAGCCTGATAAAGCTGACCGTCACCTGTTCAGGGTGCGTGTTCGAGAGCAACAAATTGGTGCAGTCGTATTCTTAACATTTGCAGTCACATCATAGCTGATAGATTTGTTACTGTTACCATATTGTCGTATTTACTTTATTAGATTATACTAGTATTAGGAGCGAGAGAGTCTATGAATGAAATACATGGGATAGTAGTAATTCTTTGAAATCGAACCATATTATTTTCAATAACTATTAATAGGACATAAAACACAAAAAGCTGGATAAACTGTGCCATTGGCACTAGTACCCGAAACACCCACTATTTATTTGTATCTCCCAGTTGACATCTACTCTTCATAGAGTGGTGGGTGAGGAAGAGCTCTGTGGACCCTAGTGTCCGGAAGTAATTTAGCCATTAATTGTAGCCACTGCGATCAGTAGAGTTGCTATTTCCTCAAGTTTTCTCTTGTCAATTAACTTGTGACATTCTAGGATTACTGTTATATTAATAAATATGATAGTTAGAGGAAAAAATTAAGGGTACATATCTGGCTGTGTTGGCTAAATCACTACAAATCCCATTGAGCCAAGCGAGGAGAGGCTGCCTGTAGTCATAGTTCCAAGACCAGCCCTTGTATGTTCCCATCAGACTAACTGATGACAGGTGAAGGCAATATTTGTGGAAAGACGTGTGGTAGGTAGTGTGGTGATTTTGTGAAACTAGCTATGTAGCTATTCCTTTAATCAACTCACAGCCTTAGATCTACTTAAAGTGCCAGTCTCAAGATGGATTTCTTGTACGGCCAGGTAGCGATTGGAATATTGGAAGGAGTGGGCTGTGGATTTTGCCTAGGCTGGCACTTACGGGATCGGAGCGGCGATGGGGGCGAAGCAGACGCCAGCTTCATGGGAGGGGAGTTCAAAATGATCCTGGTGGTCTGGTGAGACCTGAAGATGGGTAAGGGGAAAGTGGCAGCCCAGTCCTCACACGCCGCTGTGTCAGTCTACAAGCAGGTCCAGCGCAGGAACCCTGAGCTGCTGAAGCAATTGGAGTACTGTGGTCAGCCCAGAGTCGTGGTTAAAGCCCCGGATGAGGACAGTCTGATAGAACTGCTAACCCATGCCAAAGAAGTAGGGCTGCCTGTCTTTCCAAGATGCAGAGAGGACCAAGATAGCGCCAGGATCTCGTACTGTGCTGGGAGTAGGCCCTGGACCAGCTGATCTCATGGACAAAGTCACTGGACACTTGAAGCTGTATTAGATCCAAATTAGGACTTGAGTTGTCTGTATTAGTGGTATTGGAAGTAGGATAATCCTGGTCCACTTCAAAACTTTTTTATAGAGAAGTGGTAATCTGGGAACTGTATGTCTTTTCATTAAAGGTCCAAACATGTCATCCTAGCAGTAACTGATACACCGACCCAGACACAATAGGCCTACATCTTACTTTTGCTATGCTTAGAATGTGCACTTGTGCTTAAACTACCCCAACCCATCTGAGCACTGGTTTACAATTAAAACACTATTGTACATCACTGATTTGGCAGGCATACATCCATAGTGATATGGATTTTCCCTAAAGGACACCTTGATAAAAGGTTCATAAGAGGGAAGATACACCAAACGTCAGCCATGCATAGCAGCTGGCAGTCCTATTGCATCGGACATAATTTTAGATTAATTTCCTGGCGATTCTAAATGTTGAAATACCACCAATCATCGACACCCAGCAGGTGATCTACTGCGCATGGCCGACATGTTAGTTTATGATCCTTACAAACATGACAGACAAAACAAGGTTGAGAAGGGAACAGAAGAGACCCGACCAGACTTTTCTTGACAAACAAGAAGCCTTTATTTTATGTGGAAAAGAAAACCGCAGTTTCATTCATCATCATGATCCAGATCCTGCACAATCAACTTTGAGTGCGCGCTTAAATCTAGTCATTTGTTGAGAGTATAGGGTAGACGGAGAGTTAATGATTCTTTGTATAAACGCAAGCCTTCGATAAAAACACAAAATTACCAGTCCTGTGATTTTCTTCAATTAGATCAGAGGGCAAACTGAAATAAAGTATGAATCCCAAATGGCACCCTATTCCCTACATAGTGCAGCACAACTCCTATGTGCCCTGGTCAAAAGTAGTGCACTATGTAGGGAATAGGGTGCCATTTTGGACACACAAAAAGAAAGACAACAACCTGGCAGGACATCAAGGCTATTAGGTTTTATATCCTCTCTTCTGTACAATCAAGAACAGTGACCTAGAACACCATGATATCCAGCATACAGAAACCAACCGCAGGGGGAGGGGGGTTAATAACATACACAGGTCTGACTGAACTGAAAAGAGCTTCTTTAATTCCAGTAAACAATCCCTCCTCCAAATGGAATGGTCCCACACAAGAGCACTGTTTACAGCAGGAGGCAAGGAAAGTGTGTTACACGCAGCAGAGTGAGACGCAAAGACACCGACTTCAGCTCTCTACCGCAGTCTGACTCAATGACTAACTGGAGAACCTGCATAGGCTTGGGAAGGATAAAACTCACTTTTGGAAATCATGTCTGTATGCATTTTAAAATAATCAGTTTTTTCTCTTGAGCTACACAACCCCTTTAACCCTGTGTAGGTCATCACTGGTATTGTACATAGTGTTTCTAGTTTGTTTGTGGGTCATGGAAGCAGCAGTCATGTTCAAATATAGAAGAACATTCTAGCTTTTTTTCCCTTTCTGAATATACAATAATTAAATGCATTTTACAGACAGATAGAGCAAGCTGCTCACACACATAAAAATGAAGAGATTCTACATTAGGTTCTTCACTCACGAGTGCAAATCAGATGCTTCACAACAGACCTTTAATTAAGAGGAGGACTCTCTCTTCCCACAAGCCCCCTCATTGTACATAAACCATTCCGCATAAAAAAAATGGCCCAAAAATTAAATCTAGTAAATATAATGGAATGTGAAAAATTATAATAATTGTGATCCAATCTTTTTCTTTGACAACAGAAATAAAATGTCCTTCATGAGTTTTTTTTTTTTTAAAGGAAAACAAAAACAATAACATAATTAAAAAATAATAACTGCTTGTTTGAATCCCCTAAATGTTGTGAGTAGAAGATGGTAATAGCCTAGTGAAGGACTGAGCTGAGAGAGATGGATGGATGGGCTCCAGGGCTTGCCAGGAGACCTTTACATGCCGTAGCCAAAGCCTGGTTGGGCCTGAGGTGCCTGGGGGTAGCCTGCAGGGGCCTGGTAACCGTAGCCGTAGGCCTGCTGGGGGGGAACGGGCACGCTGGGGCCAGCAGTCAGCATCAGCTGGGGTGTGCCTGGAGAAAAGAGATAGGTATTACATATAGGGCTGACACCAAAGATTAGAATCTATTCGGATTTAATTAATTTACTCTGATTCAAATCATTTGATGCCGATTGATTCGAATATTTAAACTTATGTTTTAGAATGGAGCACAAGCCACAGCGCAACTAACATTCCAGAGTGCCAAGGAAGCCCAAATGTTTTTATTTATTTTAATGATTATTTTTTTTAACAGCAGACTGTAGAGAGAAGACAGGTTGGAGGAGATTGATTCAAACCCATGCCGACTCTGGCATAAGTGTTCCGAGGTCAGAGGCACTAGCCACTGGCCCACACGGAAGCCTAAATGTGTTGATCAGTTATGGACATAAGTGCTGAAAACATATTCGCTCACCATTTACTAAGTTATCAGGACCTATTAGGATGAGAAATACCAGAGTTTTGGCGCAGGTACAGCAGACTATACAAATATGAAATGACAAATCTGATACGAATATCAAAATAGGGACAGCCCTATACACATGCATGTCATCAACATCAACTCGTCACCATCAAACCTTTCCACATCTTATCAATTTCTCTTTACTGTTTACTCTTCAACTTTTTTCTTCTCTTTACTACTTAGGGCACAAAAGGCTGGGTTACGAGAGTCATCTTGACTGTTTTTGAGTGAGTTGGTGTGAATGGCTGTTCTCATGGTCTGTGTCAGATTCTTGTTTGTGAATGATGCATGAGGTACGTACCATAGACGATGGGTTGTGTCTCTGTCGCCTGCTCCTCCTCTTTCCTTAGGGACTCTGAGGTCTCCAGCTTGTCCACCTGGAATAGAGGTCAGAAAGAACACAATGATACACAGCTACAAGCAGGCAGGCCAGAGAAGACTAGACGTGCTGGAAAAGCCTTCATTCATTGACTGTTCTTTCATTTAGTAGTTTAATTAATATGTTAAGTGATTGATGGATAGGACCATTCCAGGTGTGTGAAGTGAGTGCATTCTAGGAGATAATTATTTTCAACACAAGGCTGCTGTGAGCTGCCCCTTCATCACACATTTAAAACTAGTGAATAAATATGAGAGATGACCATTAAGATGTGACAGGAAAAATACTTTCAATGGACTTTGGTCACCCCATTCAGCCACTCTTCTTTACGTTATATTTTCGGTATACATTAACATTGCTATGTATGTAGAGAACCAAACCCATATCAAGTATGCAACAGGTGTAAAAAAATCTCATGAGATCAACATTTTACCTTTGTCATCTTTGAGCTATTTTAAATGTAGCGATGTTAACTGCCAGGCGGTATTTTTTCTATGATTTATCTAGGACCTATTCACCCTTTCCCTTATCAAACATGCTTAGTTTTAGCTCATCAAAATCAGCCTACTAACTCCAATGAATTACCTTTTAAGAATAGCAGAAGCAGATTTCCAAAGGTTGTTAGGAAGAAAACTTAATTGGGATTGAAAGTTGCAGTAAGAGGCAAGATGCATTTTGCGCTAGTAAAAAAAAAAAAAAAAGTTTCACTATTTTGTTCTCACTATATATTTCTGTGCTTCAGTGCTGAAAGTGGGTTCAGTTCCCTCCATACCTCTTAAGAACATTAGTAACTATCATGAGTAAATCTCTTCCCACAAAATCCCAACAAGCAGAGGCTTCATTGAAAGGAGAAGAGCAACATGCTACAATAGTTGTTACAGTTGGTTAAAATAGTTTGCATGAAAAAGAGGCAGAAGTACTGAAGCGCAGAGGGAGTGAAAGCTTGGGATCATTCATAGTCCTCCACTCAAGGCCTACCAGGCCCATCAACCAACAGCAAGGCACAGCCAACAACATCAATGTCTCCTAGAGTCTCTCAGTGACGCTAGATTCTCATTGGCAGGTGCTCAATCACGTGCATATTTTAAAACCAGAGAACATTTCCCAAAGTGCAGGTACCATTACCCATTTTTCACACAAACATACAGTACATACTCTTTCTCTTGGATATAGTGTAAAGGTCTGTGAAGGAATGCACTTTTCAGTTACTGCCCATGCAAAATTAACTTCAATAACAATTAACAAAGACAGATTTTTTTTTTCTCCGCCTCTAGTGCTGCAGCACAAGCTGTATTTCACTGTCAAGACTTCAATATGAGAACTAACTCAGTCATAAGAAATGTATAATTTCATCACTACAAAATGGGACCACTACTGAAAAATTTCTGGAGAAGAAAAAAAACACCAGATAGGTGCAGTGAAATGTGTTGTTTTACAGGGTCAGCCATAGTAGTACGGCGCCCCTGGAGAAAATTAGGGTTAAGTGCCTTGTTCAAGGGCACGTCGACAGATTTTATTTCTCACCTTGTCGGCGTGGGTATTCGAATCAGCGACCTTTCGGGTACTGGCACAATGCTCTAACCGGTATGCTACCTTCCGCCCTAAAAATTGCATTCGCTTCACAAACCTTGATCAAATGATGCATTTCTTGGCTTACAGTTTTAGTACTATGGTTAAATGCAGTCTACAACTGGTTTGCAGTCCTTTTTGAGAGGGGGTCTAAACTATGTGCCGGCAATGAGAAGACTCAAGACTGAGTTCATTAATGGGCGTTATAATTTATTCTATAAAATTAACACTCTTGGGGTATCAAGAGCACTTTAAGGTCATTGTGGGTTCAAGGGTCAGGACTGGGAACCAATGGCAGACTGGCATCATTGATAGACTTCCTCAAAGGGTTGTCATTGGTGAGTAACTACAGATCTACTAGAGTGCTCTGCTGCCCAGTCGGAGAGTCCAGTTGAGAAGGCACTACTCGGTGTGTATGTGTGTGTCTCGGTCTTTGGAAAAGCAGCAGTGTAACATATGGGAGAATTAACAAAACTCATGCAGATTCCTGAGGTAGCAGTACTCCAGGCTAAATGAACCTAAATTAAAGAACGAAACAGCAAGAGAGAGATGGAATATAGAAATCGACTTTCACCTTTTCCTTAATTGCATCAACCTGGAAGGGAATTCAAGAAGCGCAGCTTAGAAAATAAAAATAACTAAGTTTCCTATAGTGCAGAGACAGAGAGAGAGAGCAGGCTGAGACAGCATACAGAGATGGGCAACCAAATATCCACACAGTAGAAAAGAAAACCCAAACTAAATTACAGAAAAGACCATAACACACTCCTGTCTAGAAGGAAGTCTGGAACAATTTCTTCCTCTATAATGCCCTGAATTTCTCTAGTTTGATTGTTAAACTATCCTTTCTATCCTAAGAACTATTGTTTTGAAGATAGAGATCGCGCTACAATGATTAACCTACCACATTTGCATGCATACAAATACAGTTGCTAGTAAAATGTGAAATATTTAACTGTTTTCCACTTAGTAGGCTATACAGTATATCTGTAGACTATAGGTTCCGGTCAACTCAACTCTGAGTCACTAAACTACTATTGAGAGCAGAGCAGTATAGACTGCATTAGCCCTGTTCTATTGATAGACATACATGGTAGAACTGGTGTCCTCTATATGTCATTGGCTAGACTGGAGAGCTGCTGGACTACAGTTCTGTTCAAAGCTATATATATATAGAGATAGCTGTGGTTGAGGTGTGCAGAGCAGACAGGCACATGCTGACTCATGTTTAGTCACAGCAGTCCCACATGCAGTCACACAGCATCCAATGACGAGCTCCACTTACTTGGCACTGAATATCAATGACAAGATAACAAACTATTGGACACTAGAGAGGAACTATCTTTAGTTCCTCTCTCTAGTGTCCAATAGTTTGTTTTCTTGTCATTGATATTCAGAGGGGACACCACCTTGAAACAATGCATTAACAAGACACTTGTACTGTACCCATTGTCTGTAATCTGTTGAGTACAGTAACATTTTAGTTAGAGCATTAAACAAAGAGCAATTACTGTCTTTTATATGGAAAAGGTTAACAAAAAAGCTGTAAATGGTTAAGAGGGGAAACAAACTAGAAAAACAAAAAAGTAAGAAATAACTATTTCTATTGAGTATACGAGGACTATTGGCACACCACATAGAAATACAATTATTCTAAATAGAATATTCTATTATACTGATTCTAGTAAATCTATTTCTATGAAGCCACACACCTCTGCTGCAAAGTCTAGACTCTGCTGGACTGAGTTCTAATAGAATCATTGATGAATCTCTGGTAGCAACTTGCCATATAAAAATAAGGCATTGTGCTACTGAATAGCTAAGTAAGTGCCTTTTCAAAACGCGGCTAACTGCTAAAAGCATTCGACTGAGTAACGGAAGATCACCGCACAATGTGTTTGGAAAGGGCTTTGGGTAAAAGTGGCATTTGGCATTTAGGATCAGCTTACTTTCACCCAAACCATTTGGGGTAAGAAATGCCAAACTGACCCTAGATCAATGTCTAGGGGAAAGTTCACCCTACTCCCACTGAAAGCAGACCTGGGTTGTGTTCATTAGCCACAAAATGGAAGAAAACTGAAATGTTCTGTTGCATGCCCAAATGAACAACACCCTTGGAACTGTAGAATAGAACCACCATGCTTGGTTTGGTTTAGCCCACTCAACACTCCACATGACTCAACACTCCATGTCCAGACCGCCAACCCACCTTGGAGAGGTACTCCCTCATGACCTGGATGAAGTAGGGCATGGAGAACTCCATGATGTTGTGCCTCCAGGCCGTCTCCAGCACCACGTCAGGTCTCAGCAGGTCGTAGCAGGTGAAGAGGCAGGCGGCAAAGCACTCCTTCTTGTCCTCCGTCAGGAACCAGCCCAGCAGCTCCTCAGCCAGCTCCGTGTCCTTGGACTCGGATGCGTACTGCATGGCATCCTGGAGGAAGATGGAAACAAGATAGAGGTTCAAGATCAGGAGTGGTGACTTGATGCTGTGTGTTTGAGAGGAAGTTAGCACCAAGCCACTTTGTCTGGTATCTATCTGGTCATGCTAGAGAACTTTCACTCCAACATGGGATTTTGACCACTAACCCTACCCTTAAACACTCATCTTACCAGACAAAATGGCAATATACTACATTTCCCATTATCCTCCTAACCAATTAGGTTCAATGACAATATAATGTCAATTACAATAATATACCTTTTCCAAGTGAATGGCAGTCAGAGGAGAAACAAGCCTTGGTAAGGAGAAGGGAATGAATGAATGAGTACCTTGTAGAGTTTGTCCTTCTTGCAGAGCTCCACACTCTGTTTCCAGCGGTTGTTACCCTTGAAGAGGTAGGCAGCGATCCTCCTGAACTCAATCAGCTCGTGTTTCTCCAAGCGCTGGGCAAGCGAGATGTTGTCAAAGTTGTCGTAGGCATCTATAGATGTCCTCAGAGCCTGAGTCCACGGAGAGAGGGAAGGAAGGAAGGAAAGGATGAGTAACTGTTGTTCAGTGAGGTAAAAAACACTTTTTTCAAGTAAACAAGATACTAGAAATGTCATATTTAGGGCCAGTTTCCCAAACCCATATTAAGCCTAGTCGAGGATAAAAAATAATTCAATGGAAAATGTGTCTGTGTTAATTGTTTGACAATGTAACAACCAACCAAAATTGACCACAAACCTGATAGTCCTCCTCTGTGATGAACAGGTTGGTAAGTGCTTCATTGACAGACTTGTTGTTGTGGTTCTGTACTGAGCGCAGGTAGGGCTTGACCAGGGGCAGCTGTTTCACCTGGACCACACACACCGCTGATTATTAGTACTGCATTCATTATAAGCAGAGTGCACTGTACTGTACATACAAATACACATTTCACAGTCTTAGAGCAACTGCTACAACAGGTGTCACAATGCTTCAGTTTCCTGTGTTGCCAGATAGGAGGGGACAGAGAGCTTGTCTCACCTTGCTGAAGAAGTTGACAGCACGGGAGTGGTCCAGTCTGGGGGATAGCACTATGAGCAGGTCATTCAGTAACAACGGCTTGAACTCCAAATAGAACTGAGTTGCTTTGTAATACAGCTCCACGTTGGCCACCTACACACAGTGACAGGAAAGGGATAAAGGGAGAGATATTGTAATGTATTATAATTGTAAAGTGTATTGAGATGTTTCAATGTACTTTAAATATACACTTAACAATATCACATCGAGCTTTGTCATAATAGATCATATACAGCAATGACTGCTACCTTGGTGATGATGTCATTATAGATATATAAATGTTACTGATTGGGTTACCTTGGTGATGATGTCTTTGAACTGGCCCTCCTTCCAGGCGTCGGTGGGGTGGTTCATCATGGTGATGATGGCGTTGTCAAACTCCTCGTACTTATCGTACAGGAACACCAGCTCCGCCCACAGGTGGGCCTGCTCTGCCGCCCTCAGAACCTTTGGAATGTTGACTCTGGACCAGAAGAGCTCCAGGTGCTCCCTCATCTTCTGGGGTTTGAACTTGGAGTAGAGGATGGCCAGCTCGGTGAACATGCCCATGTGAGCCCGCTCCAGCCCCAGGGCTGCCTCCAGCATGGTGATCAGCTCCTCAAAGTAAGCACGGTCCTGAACACAGACAAGTAGAGAGACAAGTGGTTAAAGGTGGTCATGTAGGCATCGGTTTGTAGTGGTAAAGCATTGAGGGGTTCTAAAGCACCAAATGTGATTGCCAAACAAGAGTGTGGAGAGAGGAGGACGAAATAAGAACTTTTCATGTTGACTAGAGTGAAAAGACACATTTCATACAAACAACTGTGCCAGCGTCTAGCAGCAAGGAGGATAAGGTGCATCGAGACAGAGTGGGCTGTGTGTGTGTGTGTGTATCAGTCTTACCTGGTAGTAGTTGATAAGCTCCTCCAGTTCGTCAGCATGCACCACGATGTGGAGGCCACACATCTGGGCCAGCCGGAACTCCTTTCCATCCACGCAGGCGAAGCACACCTCCTTCCAGGTCCTAGTGCTGTTGGCCTTGCGGGCCCCGTCCACCGCCGCCTGGTACTCCCCGAGGTGCACCAGGGTGGACGCAAGGCGGCCGAAGTTGGACACGTTGTTGTACAGTAACTTGGCCGCGTCGTACATTTTCTCATCGTAACAGCGGTCGCCGACCTTCGTTGTGAGAGGGAAAGCGTATGAATGTCAATCAATGTCTTACATAGGGAGTTGTTTGGGACAACATAGAAAATCAGTTCCTGGTTAGGGTATTAGAATTCCTGGTGAACTGTTTATATTTCTCATTGACTTAGAATACAATAACCTGTACTGTTTAATACATCAGTCTGGACTACAGTAACGGTACCTGTTGGATGTGGGCGTTGTTGGGTCCGTTGATGAACTCCTCCAGCTCAGCCAGGCGGTTGGTCTTGGCCAGGGCAAAGATGAGCTCTGTCTCCACATAGGACTCCCGGGCCTTCTTACGAGCCATCTGAAGGAACTTCACCAGGTCCTCCCAGTTACCTGACACAGACATACACCAGAACAGCCATTATAGTCAGCTAAGAGAGGCTGGGAGGTTACAGTACCTTAAATCCTGAGGTCATTCAGTGAGCCGCTGATGATTACAGAAAGTCACCAAAAACAGCTGGACATTTTCCAGACTGAGGACATGTATTCACTGACATTGGGAGATTTTACCCATTCAGCCCACCCTGCCACCCCCTATCCCAGCTATAGCCTGCCCCACCATCTTTACCACTCTGGTCGGCGGCCTGTACCACCTCCATGTAGGCAGAGGGGTCGTCAGCCTTGATGTAGGAGTCGATGGCCTCCTTGACCAGGCCCTTCTGCAGCTGAGCCTTGGCCAGCTGGCTCCACACGGCCGGCTCGTTGCAGCGCTCGGCAAACTCATAGGCCCGGTCCAGGTTCCCAATGTGCTCAATGAGAACCTGGGGAGAAGAGACAACAGGGGAGTCAACATCATACCCTGACAGGAAGTCAGACGCTGTGTATCAATCATGTTGAAGGTAAGAAGAAGGGGAATGGAGGGGGGGGTCAGGGTTCATCTCACCTGCACGGCGGAGGTGTTGACGTCAAACTTCCTGAAGATGGCAAAGGCCTCCTCGAAGAGCTCGTTGCTGATGGCGATGTTGGCGATGTCTGGGGCATCATAGTTGTCCAGGCGGTTGATGTACTCCATCACACGGGTCCGGTCCGCCTTGATGGCCGTCAGGATCAGCAGGTTCTGCAGGTTTCTGAATAAATAAACAACCCTCAGCATCGACCCTTAACACCAAATAATCACAAACCATCCTGGAAATCAAGGTGTAAGGCTCAGCAATTGTATGTGTAAAGCTTTGTTAAGTTTACAACTGTATGTGTAAAGCTTTGTTAAGTTTACAACTGTATGTGTAAGTTGACTTTCTTGTAAAGTTCACTTTACATTTACTGTAGAGTGTGTTGCGATTTTAAATGCATTTTAAATGTTTGATTTGATTGATTTGGAACAGTATGAAAAAAAGATGGCGGAAGTGAACGAGAGAGAAGACACACCATGGACAGCCCAGCCTACAGTGAGCACAGCTATCAGAGCTCTAGTAGCTCTGTTACCTGTGTTCACTGAAGACGGAGTTATCCAGTACGATCTTCTCCAGCAGCTCAATGAGTTCGTTAGGCAGGTCTGCAGTCATGAAGGCCTTGACTGTGACTGACACCTCCTCTGGGTCCTGGGTCTCAGACAGGGCTGTCTGCACCACCTGACAGGGAGGGAAAAAGATTTAGACAGGGTCATGAGGAGATGCACGAATCTCCAACTCAGCTATTGTTCAGAGCAGAGTTTGTGTCAATTCAGAAGGTTCACTGAAGGCTGAGTTATCCAGTACGATCATCTCCAGCAGCTCAATTAGTTTGTTAATGAATTGAAAAACCTTTATTGAAGATTGCCTGAATTGAAAATGGAATTGATCCCAATACTGGTTCAGAGCTGGTCCAGACTGGTGTGTATGGGGACCACCTACCTGGTCGATGAGTTGTCTTCTGAAGGGGTTGGTCTCCAGCAGCACGCTGGCCCACAGGTCAGGGTCCCTGCGACGTACCAGGTAGCGAGACAGACTCTTGAACAGGGAGTTCTCATTGCACACCTGAGAGAAAACAAAGTTACTCCACTACTCTCACCTCACATTCTGAAATAATATAACATATGTAGGCTATTCCCATTATTGCGGTAAGAATGTCAGTTAATATTAATGCATAGCAATGCAGAGAATTTAAATTTACACTGATATGTTTTAGTTAGACCTATATTCTAACCTATATGAAACGACTTCCTATAAGAAAAAGAAGAGGAAGGAGAGAAGAAGCAGCTACTGACGTTGATGAGTTCCTGGTCACACTGTCCTCTCTCGTAGGCAACGCAGGCCAGGTGAGGGTCCCTCTTCTCGCAGTACTTGCCCACCACGCGGCTGTCGTAGTAGGGGTTCTCGCGCAGGAAGCGCTCAGGGTTGTTGTTGCTGTCGATGTAGATCTTGGCCAGGGCATTGTGGGTAGCGGGCTCCTCACAGCCCTCATGGATACGGGCCTCCAGCCAGGGCAGGAGAAGCTTCAGTCTGAGGAGAGGGAGAAAAAAAAGAGAGGGAGATGAGCCTGCTGACTACTACGGATGCTGATATTACAGTTACTATACAAAAGACTAGGTAAAGGCTACAGTAAAGTCTCTTCGTACTACTTTTGTTCTTGATACCATGGTGTTTAAATAGGTTGGAGTGATATACTAGCTACTATCAACTACAATGAACCCCTCTAACTAGTAGTTTCTTTCTGCCATCTGATGAAAAGGGGTTGGGTTTGTGTTGTACCTGTTCCTCTTCTCCACCTCAGCCACCAGTTCGTCAGTGGAGAACTGTCCTCTGACCACCAGGATCAGACTCTTAATGACGTCCTCAGAACAGTCCACGTCCAGAAGCCCTCCTATCACCACTGGCAGACGGCTGGGGTTCACCTAACACACACGTCAATATTCCTGGACACTATTATGACTGTGGGGCCATTATTCTTGAGTCTGCGCTAGTTTAGGTGGACATGAAACTCAGTGAGAATATCTTGCTTAGTTTGTATATTTTGTCAATTAGGATGCTTGACAGTGTTTGTTTGACCACGTTCACTTACTTTCTGCACATAGATCTCAATGTATTTTTGCAGGTTGTTACGGTACAGGTAGAGGACCAGGTCGTGGACAAAGTCGAAGCGGTCACACACAATGATGAGTGGGAGCTGGTCGGTCAGCTTGGCCTCCTGTCCAATCACAGAGCAGGGGGAGGGGCCAAGGTTAGCGGAACATCATTGTTATGAGATGGAACATCTGATCAGAGCCCACCAATGATCACAGCCAAACCTGACATGTAAAGGTTGGGCTTTAACCACTGATCGCAATGGCAAGTGTTAAAGCTTGGGGTGTTTTTTGTTGTTTGTATGTTAGATGTTTTTAAGAAAGTAGCTCAAAATTGAGCAAGTAGTTAAAAAAGGTTCAAATGAGAGCTAGAGGTTTGACCGTAATGTTGTTGGGCTCATACAACCACTAATCTACAATGACAAAATAAATATTAGAATCACTGAATATGAAATTGGGATTTCATTTTCCAGTTTAACGATCTTGCTCAAGTGATTCGAAAATGTCACAATATAAAGGAAAACAAAAACAAATTTTTTTTTTCAACTACGACGACAAATGGGAGGAGTCACGTTTTACGAGGTTAGAAGATGGTTAGGTATTGAAAACATTTTGTTTACTAGTATGGACTGAGTGGACAGAGAAAGAAAGAGAACGTGAGGGAGAGAGAGAGAAAGGAGAAGAAAAGGATCCAAGCCAAGTGCAGCTGGCTCACTCACACACTGACGTAGGTCTCCCTCTGCAGGTACTATAGAGGTACTGTCACACACTCCCACTACACACCATCACTGGAGCACACAACAGCAGACCCTCCACACAGTGCGTGTGTTTCCTGTGCGTGTTATGTGTGTGTGATCACCGGGTGACTGCCATCAACACTCCTACAGGATTAATACACTGGGATTGAGTACCTCACAGCCCTGTAGAGCACTCAAAGGGTCTGCCACCAAAAATAATGGACATAAAGACATCTACATTTACATTACATTTTAGTCATTTAGCAGACGCTCTTATCCAGAGCGACATACAGGAGCAATCAGGGTTAAGTGCCTTGCTCAAGGGCACATCGACAGATTTTTCACCTAGTCGGCTTGGGGATTAGAACCAGCGACCTTTCGGTTACTGGCACAACGCTCTTAACCACTAAGCTACCTATAGCTATAGCATGTTTTTTTAACTATATTCTGCGTCCCAAATGGCACCCTATTCCCTACATAGTGCACTACTGTTGACCAGGGCCCATGCACTATGTAGGGCATAAGGTGCTATTTGGGATTCAGAGTATGATGAGGCCCATTGACTCCTCTTGTACAGCCTGGAAGACTGATATAGTATGTGGGCATACCAGGTCATCTGGATGACGTGCATTTCGTTTCTGAATCCATCCACATAGGAAAACTAATTTAAATACACCACAATAGCCATGTTTACTTGAGTCCATTTGTGCTGGATAGACCTTACATTCGGATAACAGAACTACAATACCAGATACCAGCTAGCTATATGCACAGTTACGAATCCAAAACAGAAGAACACTCACAACACCCTGTTGCTAGTAGCTCAGCTAACTGTCAAACTACAGGTTTTGGACTTGTTTGAACATAGACAGACTAGAGTTTGGTGCACCCCATCATGGATGTATGGTTTTTGGGTACAGCAACGGGTTGTGTCATTGTACTCATCATACAAATCCCAGGTTTAATCCTGTATCTCTAGAAGTAAGTCAGGGGTGGCGGTGAAACTAAAGAGGGAGGGAGTCCTGTACTTGGGGATAGATTTACCTGGTACATGTCCTGCCATTCCACAGACAACAGGGAAAAGCACAAGAGATAACTGCCATCAGGAACATTGAGTTCACGATTGAGGAACAACTTCTTACCAATGACGGCAAAATAAAAGTTTTTCACGAATTTTTTTAATTTTTTTTATTTCACCTTTATTTAACCAGGTAAGCTAGTTGAGAACAGGTTCTCATTTAGCAGGCCGATATATGTATTCATAGGATAGACAGAAGTTCAGATGGAAGGTCCAATTTTGTAATTTAATTTCAATATCATTTCAAAATTAAAACCATGTCATAATTTCATTTCACCAACAGAGAATGATAAGGGCAGACATGAGATGGACCGATTGAACACACAAGAACAGACGAGTGTGAGAATGAAAGAGAATATAATAAAGTTAAACTAAAGAAAGGAGAGAAAAGCTAAACAAAAAGAAGAGTATGTTTAGTCCATTGCATTTCATCTCCCTCTATATACCTTCTCCCCGTCTCCCTCCAGCTTTTACCTTGAGGAAGTTCTTGACTCGTTCTGGATCGTAGCAGTTGCTCTCTCTGCAGATCCTCTCCACCTCTTTGATCTGTCCCGTCTTGCAGGCTGCCTGGATGTACTTGAAGTGAACCTCTGGGTCCTGGCTGAAGTTAACAATGGAACCCAGGAAGTAGAACAGACCTGGGACAAAGCATCACCATGGAGACAATGTTAGTCATGAGGAAATACAGTACCAGACACCATGCCAGTCTAACATGTCAGGACTTCCAGTCAAGTTCAATGGTGCACCATTGGCGGGAAAATAGAACAGTTGTTATGATAAGTTGGCTGGCTACTGCACCCCAAGAGACCGGAGCAGACAACTACTGTTGCAATCTCATCACCCCTGGTTTAATTAAATGTACAACACATTTCAGGCTAGAATAACTAAACAGTCTTGGAGAATTAGCTGATAAAACAAGAAATCGCTTGTGCTTCTCTGTCCCCTTACTGACATTGCAAATTGCCAATATCACAGACACTTCTCACTATGTTTGTTTTGCAAGAGTCATTTGGACAATTGAAAACAGTGTCTCTCTCTCACTTAGTTTATTGAGCTGTAGCTCCATTATGATTGGCCACCTCCTATCTAGTCTACCCTGGGCCTAAAGAGGTCCAGCAGCCTGTCCTAGTGGCCACCCCTCCACTCCAGGCCATTCTACAGAGCCTATCCACCATCCTGCTGCCTCTGGCCTACTTAGCTGATTGCAGGGCATGGGGCTAGAAGAGAGAGTGATCTATGAAGCATAAGTGTAAAATTGTGTGGCTGTGTGTCTCACCCTCAAAGCTCTTGAAGGACTCGAAGAGCTCGGTTAGAGAGTTGGTGGAGAGCTGCTCGTGGTACTTGGAGGCCACCTGGACACAGATCTGCAGGTTCTGACGGATGTTGGCAGACAACATGGCCCTCAGGCACTCCAGAGAGTCCTCAACTGAGAGGGAGCCAAAGAAGTTCACCAGCCACTAAGGGGAGAGAAATACTATTTATTTATTTTCCCTTTGCCATTCACACCTTCTACTATTTGCACATTGTTACAACCTTGTACATAGCTAATTATAAAACATAACATTTTAAATGCTTATAATATAACATGTTATTATTTTAAAACGTTTGTGTATATAATGTTTACTGTTAATGTTTGATTACTGGCAAAACAAAGCCCCTTTGGGGAAGAGAGAGAGAGAGAGAGAGAGAGATAGATAGTATCATGAGGAAATACTTGACAGTCATGTTCATCTAGCTAGGGTTCGGTTTGGGCTACAAACTAATATGACCCCTCTTTTGATCAGTTTTGCTCTACGACCCCAAGCGTCACAGGACTCATCTGAACATAGCCCAGTACCAGTTAAAACATTTTATGGAAGTACAGTATATATGGAAATACTTTAGTGCAACAAAAGAAAAGGGGGGTTAAATATGGGTAGCAAAAATAATAATTTCCAGTGCTTTCTTATCTGTTTTACCATGTATGAATCTGGTATTCAATGCGTTTCTATGGGCTAATAGCAGGTAAGGCCAAATTCAATCTTTCATCAAATAAATGTATTTTTCTATACGTACAGGGGTCCTAAAATTCAAAATCAAAATAGTTAATAGATTTTTGGTATGACCATATTAAAACATTTCCATATGTTAGCTTAGCTGATGTGGTTGTTTTTTCACACACTAGCTGGCACATATGAGAGGGGAGTGGCCTGAGTACTACTGTCATAGGGGGATTTGAGGAGGGTTCCTCTAGTGTTTAAAGGGTTCCTACCTCTGGGTTGAGCAGGTGTGTGTGCACCACGGCCCGTTTGATGTCGTACAGGTCGGTGTAGTGCTCCAGTGCCCTCTGCAGCAGGCCAGCCTTCTCACACAGCTGGGCTATGTGGGCACGGTCGTAGTTGGTGAACATCTGGTTGCCCAGGATGGCATCAGCAACCTTCAGAGAAGGATAAGCATAGAACAGTGTTAGTGTTAATGTCACTTATAGTCACGTTTGCTTTGAGAGCAACCAAATATTAAATTGGCATATTCTCAAAATGTAAGCTCTCTGTGTGTGTGTGTGTGTGTGTGTGTGTGTACCTGTGGGGCGTGCATGAGGTTCATCTCCAGGAGGCGTGTCTGCAGCGGCCCCTCAGAAGGCCTGTTGTTTTTCAGGGCGTCCAATAGGAAGGAGGTACACTGCTGGATCAGGTTATACTCCATAAACACATCCACGATCTGAACAGACAGGGGCCAGAGAGAAAGAAAGGAACAACTGTCAACATAAGACAGCCAATACACACAGTTAGTATTCAGGGGTCGCATTAGAGTTCAGAAATCAGCATTTTCAAAACGCAAAATATCTGCGTTCTAAACCATTTCACCTGCGTTTTATATTGTAAGTCCGTTTTTTTTCCTTCTTCAATAGAGTGATCAGGGGCGTGCAACTATAGTTTTCCTTCACAGAAAATACATTAGGGCAACACATTCGGCAGAAAATAGCTTTATTTTCATCAGATGACAACAGAAGTGCAACGCTATTTGGCTAGCAGCCACACTAGTAAATGGTGCATGGCTATCATATTTCTAATGCTTATCATCGAAAAAATTTAGCCAACTGCATTTCCCAATGTTTTGCTTGAAGTTAATCTTGCATTTTACAGGAGAAACACTGAGAAAAGTACCTGAGAAAAGTAGCTACACAGTCAGAGGGTTGTCTGCTGATAGAATGCCCGTTAGTCAATTCTCATCTGAGTGGAGAAGTCCAACTGAAGCACAAAATTAGTCTGATGCCAAGCAGAAATTACATTAAGAAGCATTTTAGATCTTCTTTTCCAAAATGCAGCAAGATATTCCTTATGCGTTTAATCTTTTTTTGTGTGTATGAAAAACACAGAATTCTGCATTAACGCACACTCCTGGTATTTAAAACGCACTTGGTTGAGCTTTCAATATTGAGGCTATTCGATTAGTTCAATTGTACCAGGCAAACTAAATCAATATATGACATGTATTTGACCCAGGTCTGATCAGAGCAATGACAGTTCAGGGCAGACAGTCCTGTCAAGCCCACACAGGAGGAATATAGTAGTGGAGTGTAAATTACGTACAGTTGAAGTCGGAAGTTTACATACACCTTAGCCAAATACATTTAAACTCAGTTTTTCACAATTCCTGACATTTAATCCTAGTACAAATTCCCTGTCTTAGGTCAATTAGGATCACCACTTTATTTTAAGAATGTGAAATGTCAGAATAATAGTAGAGAGAATGATTTATTTCAGCTTTTATTTATTTCATCACATTCCCAGTTGGTCAGTAGTTTACATACACTCAACTAGTTTTTGGTAGCATTGCCTTCAAATTGTTTAACTTGGGTCAAACGTTTCGGGTAGCCTTCCACAAGCTTCCCACAATAAGTTGGGTGAATTTTGGCCCATTCCTCCTGACAGAGCTGGTGTAATTGAGTCAGGTTTGTAGGCCTCCTTGCTCGCACACGCTTTGTCAGTTCTGCCCACAAATGTTCTATAGGATTGAGGTCAGGGCTTTGTGATGGCCACTCCAATACCTTGACTTTGTTGTCCTTAAGCCATTTTGCTACAACTTTGGAAGTTTGCTTGGGGTCATTGTCCATTTGGAAGACCCATTTGCGACCAAGCTTTAACTTCCTGACTGATGTCTTGAGATGTTGCTTCAATATATCCACATAATTTACCTTCCTCATGATGCCATCTATTTTGTGAAGTGCACCAGTCCCTCCTGCAGCAAAGCACCCCCACAGCATGATGCTGCCACCCCTGTGCTTCACGGTTGGGATGGTGTTCTTCGGCTTGCAAGCATGCCCCTTTTTCCTCCAAACATAACGATGGTCATTATGGCCAAACAGTTCTATTTTTGTTTCATCAGACCAGAGGACATTTCTCCAAAAAGTAAGATCTTTGTCCCCATGTGCAGTTGCAAACAGTAGTCTGGCTTTTTTATGGTGCTTTTGGAGCAGTGGCTTCTTCCTTGCTGAGCGGCCTTTCAGTTTATGTCGATATAGGACTTGTTTTACTGTGGATATAGATACTTTTGTACCTGTTTCCTCCAGCATCTTCACAAGGTCCTTTGCTGTTGTTCTGGGATTGATTTGCACTTTTCGCACTAAAGTATGTTCATCTCTAGGAGACAGAACGCGTCTCCTTCCTGAGTGGTATGACAGCTGCGTGGTCCCATGGTGTTTATACTTGCGTACTATTGTTTGTACAGATGAACGTGGTACCTTCAGGCGTTTGGAAATTGCTCCCAAGGATGAACCAGACTTGTGGAGGTCTACAATTTCTTTTCTGAGGTCTTGGCAGATTTCTTTAGACTTTCCCATGATGTCAAGCAAAGAGGCACTGAGTTTGAAGGTAGTCCTTGAAATACATCCACAGGTACACCTCCAATTGACTCAGATTATGTCAATTAGCCTATCAGAAGCTTCTAAAGCCATGACATCATTTTCTGGACTTTTCCAAGCTGTTTAAAGGCACAGTCAACTTAGTGTATGTAAACTTCTAACCCACTGGAATTGTGATACAGTGAATTATAAATTAAATAATCTGTCTGTAAACAATTGTTGGGAAAGTAGATGTCCTAACCGACTTGCCAAAACTATAGTTTGTTAACAAGACATTTGTGGAGTGGTTGAAAAACGAGTTTTAATGACTCCAACCTAAGTGTATGTAAACTTCCGACTTCAACTGTAGATGAGAGATAGAATGCTCTAGTCTAGGGGCCTCATCCCATCTCTCGATCTCCCTCTATCCTAAGCCTTCCTCCCCCTTCTCATCTCTCCCTTCTCTGTTCGTCCTCCACCTCTCCCATCCTGCCACTCTCTCCCTCCCCTCTCCCTCCTTTCCACTCATCCTCCCCTCCCACTCTCCCTCCATCCCTCCCACTCTCTCCCTCCATCCCTCCCACTCTCCCTCCATCCCTCCCACTCTCACTCTCTCCCTCCAGCTCTCTCCCTCCAGCTCTCTCCCTCCAGCTCTCTCCCTCCAGCTCTCTCCCTCCAGCTCTCTCCCTCCATCCCTCCCACCAACCTGTGTGATGTCAGCCAGAGGCTCCTCATCCTGGACCAGCATCTGGGAGAACTGCAGGCCCTGTTCTGGACTGATCCTCATCACATTCCTCAGCAGGAATATCCAGTCTGGAGTGTAGCCCACCTACAGACACAGGAAGAGCAACAGTTACAACCACATACAAGTACCAATGCACCATTCTGCTCCTCAACGTGCATATTTGTAATATTACATATTTTATTTATTTTTAACTTTAATTGCTTTCTAAAAAATTTAAAACTTTTTAAAAAACTAACTTTTTAATCTATCCCCTCAAAAAACACCCTTTCATTGTCATATGACAACATACTTTCCATTCACACATCTAGCTAACAAATGCTAAAACCCTCCTTGCAAACCCCATTTGGCCCCAATAGACACAGCCCCATTCTAAAGCCCCCCTTGGGATACTAAGATACAGCTCACCCACTTCTTCAACTGTGTCATGAGGAAACCAAACCAAAGAAAGGAAACAAGAACATCAACAGAGCTTCATCTCAGAGTGACAACGTACTTTCTTGGCGTACAGGACTATCTTGGGGAACTGTCCGGTCTCAGCGAAGCACTGGATGACCTTGTTGGGTACGTTGGCCCTCAGGTAGACAGAGAGAGCCAGGGTTGGGTCCACTGACTTCACCAGGTCCCCCAGCTCCTCAGAACACTCCAGCTAATAAGAGACAAAGTTAGTTTCACCACAACTACCCTACAGGTAAAAGACCCTACTGAAACATTATGTTTGGAATGTGCGTAATCACTATCAGGTGTTGGGTTAACACATTTTAATATTCACAATTAGTGTGAAGCAGAAAGCTATAGGGGGAAACATTGAGAGTGACAAAGGAGACGCCAATATTGCCAAGCATGGTTTGAAGGAGGGGCAAAAAACAATTTAAATGCTCAGCATAACAAACAGATTGCCTCACATCTTAGAAAGGACTAACAACCCAGGTGACTGGGGAGATATGAACATGGACAGACACACACAGCTTAGGAAAGCCCTCTTCCTATGGAGGGTCAGATACCCAGCTCTCCCCCTCTCTATCTGAGACAGACACCCACACACCTTGTCCTCTTTCAGCCACTTCTCCAGCAGCTGCTTGCGTCCCTGCTGTAGGACGGGCCTGCAGAGCTCCAGAGACTCAAACTTGTTGAGCTGGCCCTGGTCCAGCAGGATGCCAAAGTACTGCAGCAGGGGAGAGGTCTGGCCCGGCTGGGCCGGCACGCTCTGGAACTTACGGATGGTGTCTGGAGTACGCAGGATACCCTGGAGGAGAGAGTGGAGAGGGGTGGAGGGGTCCACTGCAGTTTATATACACACAGAGATCCTGCTGATATACGTTTTAGAGAGGGTTTTGCTAGCAACATATTGTACATAGTAACATCATCAGAACAGTCTGATTTGCATATCTACACTATAGTGATCACGTGACCCATTATTCACTTTTGTAGTGTATTGACATTACAAGAAAATAACAAACAGAAGGAAATGCACTTTGGTTGGAAAGAGGTAGATATCACACTTTAAAGTAACTGTCCAGTGAAAATCTCACTTTTAAAATATACTCATGTGGCCAAAGCGCGCACGCGCATATATATATATTACTTTAATAAAACACTTCAAAAACCCACCTCAAACTTGTTTCTCAAACAGACCGTTTCAAAAATGCTTGTCATTTCCTCGTATAATGTGACTTCACGTCGGCTCATTGGCTGAGGTGGTCAATCAGCTGTTTACTGGATACGCCCACACCATTCAAACATACTTCACTCATTGTAATTCATTCAGGGTCATATTTCATAGTAATCTGGAAAAACTGGACAGTTACTTTCTTCCATTACATCACAGTGATGTGATCAGCTCCCCCCTGGAGGAAAGTTAGACCTTGTACCGTTGATGTGTTAGTTACCTTTGGTGCATTGGCGGCCACCTTGGCAGCCTCAGAGTAGTTTCCCCCAGCGAACAGGTTGTTGAACTTGCGTGCGAACAGCTCCTCGGCCCCGGCCAGGTTGTTACGGACGGCCATGCGCAGGGCCAGGTCTGGGTTCTGCAGCACATTGGTGATGTAGGGGATGATGTTCTCCTCCTCCACACACACTGACAGGACCTGGAGACACAGGGAGAGAGAGAGCGAGAGAGAGAGAGACGGGGGAGAGGAGAGAGCGAGAGACGGGGGGGAGAGAGAGCGAGAGAGACGGGGGGGAGAGAGAGCGAGAGAGACGGGGGGAAGAGAGAGCGAGAGAGACGGGGGGAAGAGAGAGCGAGAGGAGAGAGAGACGGGGGGGGGGGAGAGCGAGAGAGAGGGAGAGAGAAGGGCGGGGGAGAGAGAGCGAGAGAGCGGGGGGGAGAGCGAGAGACGGGGGGGGAGAGGAGAGCGAGAGAGACGGGGGGGGGGAGGAGAGCGAGAGAGAGGGGGGAGAGGGAGGGGGGGGGAGACGAGAGAGCGAGAGAGACGGGGGGGGAGAACGAGGAGAGGGGGAGGCGAGAGAGACGGGGGGGGAGGAGAGGGAGAGCGAGGAGAGAGACGGGGGGAGAAGCGAGAGAGAGAGAGGGGGAGAGAGCGGAGAGAGAGAGGGGGGAGAGAGAGAGGAGAGAGAGAGACGGGGGAGAGAGGAGGAGAGGAGAGACGGGGAGAGAAGGAGGGGAGAGAGGCGAGAGAGAGAGACGGGGGAGAGAGAGCGAGAGAGAGAGACGGGGGGAGAGAGAGCGAGAGAGAGAGACGGGGGGAGAGAGAGCGAGAGAGACGGGGGGAGAGAGGGAGGGGGGAGAGAGAGAGCGACGGGGGGGGAGAGAGAGCGGGACACGGGGGGGAGAGAGAGAGGGACACGGGGGGAGAGAGAGAGGGACACGGGGGGAGAGAGAGAGGGGACACGGGGGGAGAGAGAGAGGGACACGGGGGGGGAGAGAGAGAGGGGACACGGGGGGGAGAGAGAGGGGGACACGGGGGGAGAGAGAGGGGGACACGGGGGGAGAGAGAGGGGGACACGGGGGGAGAGAGAGGGGGACACAGTGGGTGTTTATTGCTCTAACTTGTTCAAAGGGGGCTGTATCTACTATCTAGCTACATTGGCCTCTGTTCTTACACACTGGTTCCATTGACAGACATGTTGAGATGAAAGCGTATGCTCCAGATCAGGTAACTGACAGACAGGACAGTGAATGGCAGGCCAGAGGCAATCCAAGCTACAACGTCACAAGTGAACAAAGGACACAGCCATGTGTGGAAGTGAGGGAGGGAGAAAGAGGGGTGTCTGCTTTCTGCCGGAGAGACGGATGCTAGCTAACCGTTCGTTTGTTCACTCTTTGTACTTCTCCTGCACCAACCCAGTTAGGCACCAGCTGGCCACATTGTTTAAAGAATCCTCCAGATGACAAGCAACCAACCAGAGGGGATAAGGACAGTGAGATCAGAGGGAGGGAGGTGGGGGGCAAACGTATAACAAGAGCCCTGAATGGACCACTCTGAAACAGCCTCAGTCTGTAGTGGTCTAACAGGCAGCCGATTCTGGGCCTGTCAAAAGCCATCAGCGTCACTGCATAGTGCACCATAGACTCCGCTGCATCGCATATATACAAGTATGAAAATGTATGCATTCACTAACTGTAAGTCGCTCTGGATAAGAGCGTCTGCTAAATAACTAAAATGTAAATGTATATTCGGCATGCACATTCAAGCACACACCATTTTACTTCTATGAGCATGGAGATAAAACAGAATTGAAATACGTTGAGGGCAATCAGGGCATATTAGGCTAAACGCTATAACTTGTTCTGGGGGCATTGAGCCAGGCCGTGGGTTAGGGCTGGTATGGTAATGATGGTAAATACATTAGTGTGTCAGTGTATGGTGTGCCTCTGGTGGGGCGGGAGGGAGAGAGGTTCTATAGGGGGGACTAGGGGAGAGGAGAGGGGCCCCACGATAAGCCCAGCAGGCCACTGCCACAGCTGTTAACAGGCATGACTGAACCTCATTCTCCCCTTCACTCAGAGAGGAAGGGTCAGAGACCACATCCCCTAATAATATGGGAGGGTCAATAAAGGGTGGGAGGGATGGAGGGAAAGAAAAGAGGGGTAAGAAATAGAGCTCTTAGTGTAGATGCGCCCTCTCTACCACAGAGTGTGTGTGTGTGTGTGTGTGTGTGTGTGTGTGTGTGTGTGTGTAGGGGAGGGGGGAGGCTGCAGAGAGAGTGACCTAGAGGCAGAGAGAGAGAGAGACATCCACTACCATCCACAACTGGTTCTGACAGAGTGAAAGTCACCAAATCTTCAAAAATATAAAAAACACTTTTTATATAATTAGGACAACCACATAATAACATCTACAAAATAGACCTATCAGACACTGCGATGCCAATGAGATGAGCCGTAGTATCGGTGTTATACTGGCCCTGAATCACACACACAGTTGTAACTGACTGCAGAGCTGACGTCACAGAGTCCTGTGATGCGGGGTGACTCGAGGGGCTGTGATTGGCTGACAGAGAGCCTCTCCTCCCAGCCAGTAGTAAGAGGATTGGTGCCTCCCACTCAACATCACGTGCAGCTTTTTACAGGGATTCCTCCATCTCAAGGTCAGCCAGTGACAGGCTGCAGAGTGCAGACGCAGCATCTTGGACACGGACAGACGGCGCACGCCACACACACAGAAGAGGAGAGGAGAGCCCCACAGCTCCCTGTGTGGTACTCAATGATGGAGAAAAAAGCACTGTAGGGAGCTGCTTAGCCAGCAGGCATCCTTATTACCAAGGCATTATGCTCTTAAGATATTCCAATTAATTCCAACTAATGAGCAATCAAACTACACAAGACTACTATGCTGTTGCATTCCAACTCCAGTTAGCTTGGCTACATCTTTCGGCAGCCAAAGGGAAGCAAATTCATTTCAAACCTTCCACTGACAGGAAGAGAGGATTAGGCCTAAATATTTCCAATGCCATTCATTCACCTGAGCCCTCGTCAAGTGGAGGCTGCAGCCCAACCCTTGTACTGTATAGAAGCCCCAGCCTGCCAGTGTCTCTATGCCATCATCTATACAAACCTCACTGCTCTATAGAAACCCCAGCCAATGTCTAGCTCTGGGTGCTCTATGCTCCAGTTTTTGTGTGTGTGTGTGTGTGTGTGTGTGTGTGTGTGTGTGTGTGTGTGTGTGTGTGTGTGTGTGTGTGTGTGTGTGTCAGATCAGCTTTCCCTCCTCCACCCAATAACACATGGGGTCTGTGGCCTGCCTGGAACATATATCAGCTAGACAGATCCCGTTATCCTGCTGTAATGCCTTCACAGTGGAGGGTGTGTGTGTTGGAGGGGGAGTGGCTCTCTCGCTGGTTCACCAGTGACACCTTTGATTATTTATAACCAACGGACGGCTCCTGGCTTAGATTGAGCCCTCTGACAACAGCAACGACAGGCCGGGGAATTGTTATTTTATCCTGTTTGCTCAACGCCAGTCGTCCACCTATCATCTATTCACCTCCCTGTGTTGCTTACCCCTGAAAACATGATTAAATATGAAAGAGGGTGGTACGTGGTAATGATTGTCTTATTGGGTCTTAGATGTGGTGGTGGGGGGTTTATACATGGTACCGCTTGAGTAATCAGCTCACGGTGGTGTATGTGTGTTATAGCCCCGGCCTCCCCTGGCATCCCCAGAGAGACTATATTATAGGCTGTATAATGTATGGAATGCAGAGCAGTGTTGAACCAGTGGTGGTATAGTACTGGGCTGGGTTACAGTAGAGCACATCAATAGTTGGAACACTAGGGTTATAACTAGCCTCATCTAGCTGAATGGATTACAATGTATTAGGCTCTATATTACATGACACAGTAGAGGGGTTGTAAAATAATCAAATCATTAGTGGAGGATGAGGTGAATGTTCTCTTTACATTGTAAAACTTGAAACTCATTAAACATCTTGAAGTCAATCAATCAGGCCATATTTGTATTCAAACTGCTTTTTCCCCCCAGACCAATGGGGGTAGAGGAGGTGTGGATAAAGGAGGTTGGTTGGTAAAGAGGAGGGTGGGCAAGGTGGTATCTGTACCTGTCCTTTCCTGTTGACCCCAATGATGCCGGCGGTGGCTTCGTGTGGGGCCGTAACAAAGATGGTCTCTCCGCTGATCCTGTTCATGTAGATGCAGGTGCCAGTCTCCAGGTCGTACAGGTGGATGTAGCCATATTTGGTGATGAGGAACACAACATCCTGCTTGGAGCTTATCTGAGAGGAAAAGGCGGAAACATTTGTTTAGAGAAACCAAATGTATACAAATTTAAAAGCAACGTATTATCTAAGGTTGAAAGAAAATCCTTCAAGGGCAGTATAGGTTTCTTTCATTCATTGACAAATGAAAGAGGAAGGATATATATAGCTCCACTCTTCCTGTACTAATACATTCCTGTGCTAATCTACAGCCACCTCAAAACAAAATCTAAACGTATTGGTTGCGTACACATATTTGTAGATGTTATCGCAGGTGAAGTGTTTCTAGCTCCAACAGTCAAGCAATACCTAGCAATACAAAACAATACACAAGGTGACTCTACAAGGTGTTGAAAGCATTCCACAGGGATGCTGGCCCATGTTGACTCCAATGCTTCCCACAGTTGTGTCAAGTTGGCTGGATGTCAATTGGGTGGTGAACCATTCTCGATACACACGGGAAACTGTTGAGCGTGAAAAACCCAGTAGCGTTGCAGTTCTTGACACAAACCGGTGCGCCTGGCACCTACTACCATACCCCGTTCAAAGGCACTTAAATAATTTGTCTTGCCCATTCACCCTCTGGATGGCAGACATACAGAGGGTCTCAAGGCTTAAAAATGTTTCGCTAACCTGTCTCCTCCCCTTCATCGACACTGATTGAAGTGGATTTAACAAGTGACATCAATAAGGGATCCTAGCTTTCAACTGGATTCACCTGGTCAGTCTGTCATGGAAAGATGTTTTGTACACTCAGTGTCTATGTCCCAGCTTTGATGCACCTGTACGGTCTACGCCTTCTAGATGGTAGTGGAGTGAACAGGCAGTGGCTGAGGTCCTTGATGATCTTCTTGGCCTTCCTGTGACACCGGGTGCTGTAGATATCCTGGAGGGCCGGAAGTGTGCCCCGGTGATGCGTTGGGCTGACCGCACCACCCTCTGGAGAGCCTTGCGGTTGCGAACGGTGCAATTGCCGTACGAGGCGGTGATTCAGCCCGACAAGATAGTCTCAATGGTGCATCTGTAGAAGTTTGTGAGGGGCCAAGGGTCTTGGAGGCCAAGCTACATTTTTTCAGCCTCCTGAGGTTGAAGAGGCGCTTGTTGCGCCTTCTTCACTACCCAGTCTGTGTGAATTGACCATTTCAGGTCATCAGTGATGTGCACGCCGCTCCCCACTATGTGCAGTCAGAGCAACAAGGTCAGGGTGTCCTGGGCTAACAGTGGCGAACAGTGAAAAGTACAGTCCAAGGTACCTACCATGCCGCCATTGGCTAACACTAATGCCCTTTTCACACTATTGTGCCGACCCGAACCGTACTGTGCCGGATCTGATATTTTTTCACATTCTCCTTTCCAGCATGCAATTATGTTGAATCCGTAACCAGGCCACTGCAGCACAGCTTGGCATGGCTCAGTAGTGTGAAATGGGTATAACAGTGATAAATACAGTACAGTCCATAGCTATTATCTACCTGCATGGCCACAGGGAAGTCATTCTGAGCCTCTGGAGGGAAGAACACATCCACTGCTTTCTTTGGAAAAGGCTGGTTCCCTGTGGGTGGGGTGCCCACCTCAATGATGTGCAACTACAATAGAGAGGGGATCATTGAGAACAATGTAATTTACAGTCATCTACAATGTGCTTAGCCAGCGGGCAAAACTGGTTGCAAAGACGTAAATACAACCAGATTTCAACCACTTAGTTGTAATCTGGTTATAAATACGTTATTTAAACCAGATATGCCAGCTGAGTATTGTCAAGTGAAAATGGAAAAATATAATATCTACACCCACCAACCACAATAGCCTTTAACCTGCCAGTCCCTTCTCCCTCTTCTCCTCCCCTGTCCTACCTTTCCCCCGGCCTGTCCTCTCACAGCAAAGCAAAACAGTGTGGACTCCTCTGTGTTGCCCTCCATCTTGAACTGGGCGAAGCCTGCGGCGTGGCCCTCGATGGGCTGTGACACCTTCCTGTCCACAGAGTACAGCTGCATGGCACCCACCACACGGTTTTGCTGCAGCAGAGAAAACACGTCAAACACGTTAACTACAGAGCAACAGGGTATGCAATGTTCTGCTAGTCAGCCGATCAAGTTTTATGGTACATACTAAGGCCACGCCGCGTGTGTGATTAGGGATATTCACTGTCATGGAGTTTTGTTGTTGTATTTGATTAGGATCCCCATTAGCTGTTACGAAAGCAGCAGCTACTCTTACTGGGGTCCACATGAAACATGACATAATACAGAACATTAACAGACAACAGCTCAAGGACAGAACTACATACATTTAAAATGTCAAACAGCCTACATATCAGTACATACACATAGACCCCTGGTGGCATGTCTGGTGGGGTGTGTGTCAGAGCTGTGTAGAAGTTGACTTTGCAAACAATTTGGAATTTTCAACCATGTTTCTTATAAAAAGATGAAGTGATGCATTCAGTCTCTCCTCTACTTTTGGCCAAGAGAGACTGGCATGCATAGTAGTACTCACATTAGCCCTCTGATTACAGTGAAGAGCAAGATGTGCAGTTTTGTTCTAGGCCTGCTGCAGTTTTTCTAGGTCCTTCTTAGCAGCGCCTGACCATAGAGCCTCAGAGTGGAGGTATCATAATACCCATAAAACCTAGCAGTCAAACAGGGAAATGGTTCCAATCGTTTTTCCACCATTCATTTTTCCCATAGGGGATTTTAGAAACACTTAAAATAAGGGCTGTGTTTCGTGTAGGCTTACCATGGCGTGACGTTTTGATAACCATGTAAATCTCTCGGACAAGGTGACTTTATATTTAGCTCTATTTACTCTCAGATTCGAAAATGCTAAATAGCATCAAAGTAGACATCATGCAAGACTACAAATCCCTGCACGTCATCTCTAGCGGACACCTTTGCTAACAGGTATTGTGTCAATTTAAAATTTGCGCAAGACAGATCACAGAATTGTCAATTTAAAGAAACTTTGCCAATGTATTCATTACAAAATTTGGCTAACATTAGATAGTTAATACAGAGATTCTTCCCTTTGCCTCGATTCGGCAGTCTCGTCCAGATCATCATGGCATTTGTAGTTCTTTATGATAGCCACATTAGCATTTCATTTTTGGGGGTAAATACAGGTGAATATATTGATAAAAGTCACCTTGTCCTAGAGAGATTTACACGGTTATCAAAACATCAGGCCAGGGTAAGCCTACACGAAACACAGCCCTTATTCTAAGTGTTTCTAAAATCCCCTATGTGAAAAATTGAATGGTGGAAAAACGATTGGAACCATGTCCTTGTTTGAAAGCTAGGTTTTAATGGGTATTATGACTCATACTGTGGTACTCTATATGACTGAGCAATAATCAAGCTAAAACTAGAGCCTGCAGGACTTGCTTTGTGGAGTGCGGTGTCAAAAAAGCAGAGCATCTCTTTATCACCGACATACCTCTCCCCATTTTTACAACTATAATATAGTGTGTGCGCGCGAATATGCATGAGTGTGTGTGTAAGACAGTAACCTGTGCAGAGATGCCAATGAGCAGCAGCCACTTCTGCTTGGCGTCAGTACGGTAGTTGATGATTTGACAGCCCGCCAGGCTGGAGTGCCGGTCAAAGACTTTGATTGGCTGGGAGTCCCCCTCCATGCTCCAATGGTAGACGGCGTTGTCGGTCACAAGTGCCACTGTGTTGAGGGAGATCCACTTCCAGAAGGTGACGTCGTCCGTCATAGTGTGAGCCTTCATCTTGCTCTTCATCTCAATGTTAAAGATCTGAAGGGTTTTGGCAGCTGAGAGGGGCAGAGGGTGGAGAGAGAGAGGGGCATCGCATGGGAGAACAATGTTGTGGCTACTCTCTGAGAACTAAGTCAACACACACACACACACACACACACACGTTAAAGTTATAGAGAGCCACAAACACACACAGCGGACTGAGGGAAAGGTAAAGTAAATACCAAATTCCACTTGAGTAACGAGAGTCAAGCTCGAAATGTTGGTAGTCATGGCTCAGAGAGAGCATCAGGCAAGAAGGTCACCATGACTTACTAAAACAGCAGTCATATAGAGATTAAGCAAAGAAATGAAAGCAAAATGTTTACAGATAACCACTAAAATCTTACATATCTGCATCCAGGTCAAATATAAGATAAGAGGAGAAGGACTAATTAATACTTATGGACAGTATTAAAGGGAGAGGAAAGATACAGCATGTTGCACAGTGTGTTTGGGACTCTGGCAAATAAAACCCCTTAAAATAATGGAAAAGAGGGGTTCTCAATAGTGATTAAGACTGTACGTTGTTACATGTTATTTAATATTGTTAATATATCAATGATGGATAGGTTAGAAAAGGTTACTCACCTGTGTTTTGTTTGATTAGTTTTGAGTGAATAAACATTAAATAGGTAAGCTAAAGCCTTATTAAGAAGCATTAAATGTATTCCCTGTTCATTTACCATATCGAAAGCAAATTGTAAATCACAAAAAGCAATTAACTTTCAAAAGCTGCAGAATAATTTTTGCTGTGTTATCAGTTTGACACCGAAAGCCGGCGATTCATAATCACAACATCACAGACTATAGTTTGCAGTGCACAAATTATAGCGTCAGCAGCCAAATATTAAGTTCATTTTTGATTGGAACAGATTAAGCAATTTAAAGTGTGTGCATGGTGAGAATCTGCACACGTGTATTCTGATGTTCCCATCCCCCAGGGTGACTAAACCATCACATGACAGATTTAGCAGAGTGGTTGAGAGGGAGGGGAGGCGCTGTCTGAATGCAGATGAGGGAATAGGAAGGAGAAGGTAGCTAGCAACACTACTATGCTAGACGACCACGGCCTTGCGATTCCCACTAATTCTGTTCTACAGTAGCTACAACACAGATGATTGGGAATGAGACTCCAAATAATGGCAAAAGTCATGACTGCTAAACCAGTATAATCTCCGACCGCTTTCTGCTTCAAATGAGTGTATTATTTATTTATTGCCACAGTCTATAGCCTACGCATGTTTTACCATCTTAGGCACTACAGGTCCCTTTTCTCACCTCTGCCACTTAACAGTGGGCTCCAAAACTAAAAATGGCAGGCAACTCAAAATTTCATGTGACAGTCATACTAAGTGGTTATTTTTGGCTAAATCCACTCCTGAAATCAGTACATAGGCCTATTGGATTGTAGCCCACATAGACCAATAATGAGTCCTCCTCCAAACAATATATGATCAGACAACCATCCCACCCTCACTGGTATAAACTATAAATATCCTACAAGTGGACTGTCTATTTCAGTAATAACAGTTATCCACTCAGTAGTTAGAAATTAGCCTTTCAGATAAATTAATGGTTGCTGAAAGCAGTCAGGAAAAATGCAGGGTCACAATAAAGAGAAAGAGACAGGCAGCTAGGACAGGAGGACACAGAGCATTACTATCACAGGGACATCTGTCTGTCTGTCAGTCTGGAAATCCCAGGAATTTCATTTGAAAACAGATGTTTGTTCAAGCGTTTTAGGCCTGTGTAAATGACATTAGGACATTGGTGGCGGGGATGGGACTGGGAGGAGGGGCAGTGTTGGACCTACAGAGAGGACGACGACTCTTATTGAATCCACTGGTCTAAAAATCGATCAAACAGTCTTTTACTTTAACAACCAATGAATTGGTGGCTAATCAGATTTTCAGCCTTCTGGGCCATAGTAACTCATCAAAGGGCCCTATTCATAATCTCTATACTCCTTCTGGCCTGAAATGTACACTTACTACAGCCACTCCATCATCTGATAGGTTAGAATACTAGAGGAAGTCTTCCTGGACACGTATATCATCTAATCAATACTATATGAGCAGAGCTACCAGTATGGACACTGATTCAACAATCACCCAGGCCACGTTCACTGCCTAGAACCGTGGGAGGATCAAGGATCTACCATGATAGTTGGCTAGCTAAGAGGGAATTCTAAATGTTTTAATAAAATATAAAACATAACATCCCGAGTAACCTAGCTCACGTTTCAGGATTATATAACCTAAGCTTAGAGCCATGATAAAACTACACAGCTCTTATGACAAAGGTAGTGAGCCCTGTAGGCACCCATGGGGTTGGGCAACATTCATATTTGAACACAGAGGAACTGGGGCAGGGAATCCAAATGGCAAGCAGCATAAATGTGTCAACAAAAATTTAGCTTAATTCATAATTTGACCCACAATATTTCCACCCCCAAAACAGGTACTAAATTACTGGTACATCTAAGAAAAATATTGATGTAATGCCAACATTCAAGCTAGATGGTTGTGAAAGCTAAATCCTGTTTAGATGGACTAGATAATAGCTTAAACATGTGTGTATGAAATATAGCATGTATTAACAAAATGTGTATGGATTTGTCCTGATTCCATAATAAAAGTCCAATCACTGTATTTTGCCAAATTGATGTCCAACTATATGCACAGACAGGGTTTGGAATATAGAGTACAAAGGGACTGGCACAATGGGAGTCAGTCTCAAGCTGGATGATAACATGGTGATGACAGCTTGGTTTGCATGTATCTAATATGAAAGGAGAGACTGGTGTGTGGGTGTTTTCTATTGACCCTAGCTAGTGTGGACTTGAACAAACTCTTACGTTTTTTATTTTTTTATACAGATTTAAAAACAGGATTTAAAACTTCCACAACTCAGGTGTACTGAAATTTTAACTCACCGTCTGCATACACATAAGAAAGCGGTAAAGAAACAAAAAAAGAACAAACAAAACAGAGAAACAAAACAAAAACAGACAAAGCAATTATGGCTGCTGAACAAGACTGTCAAATTACACTTCTGTTGGGTCAGTAAACCCAATGTCTGGCAAAAGAGGCCGGCTGGGCCAATCAAAATTACTTTACAAAACAAAATAGAAATAGCTTTATGTATGTGGACATAAACAGATGTTTACTTCAACACTGAATGGATGTCGGATGTTGACAGAAATCTGCTGGCTACATTACACAAACATGTCAAAACTGAATCATGAAGACAGGCAGGCCCAATAAGGGTTAAATGCTGCTGTACTACATCCATAAAAACATCAACACAACCTTAAGTGTAAGAAATGTAAGCCTACATACGATAACTCTTGTACGTACAAATAATTCCAATTGTCTCCCAGGAAAGAGGTTTTTAACCTCAAAGGGATTTTATCCTGGTATAATAAAGGCTAAATGAAATTCAGACTGTCAGTTCCAATTGGCATACCTTTAAGTGCAATGACTTTGGAGGCGGGGTTCATGATGGCGCTGTCTGCGGAGATTGGTCTGCGGATGGGCGTGTTGGGGTCGGCCATGTCGATGATCACCACCTGTGCCTGCTCGCCCACCTTCTCCCGGATGCAGATGAACTTATCAGACTCCATCGTCAGGGTGCTGAACCCAATGTTGGCCGGGTTAATGCCTAAGTTTTGGAGCTGAGAGAAAGGGGGGGGGGGGGGGGGGGGGGTTAGGCGCTATTTAGCTTTCAATAACCTGGGAAGTAGGAGAAAAGAAACCAGTTGAAACAGGAACACTGAGCGGCTCTAAAATAAGTCAATCAATAGCAAAAAGGTCAACCCATAGTAGGCCTCTGTCTCACACTGCTATTATAGAGAGATCAACATTTTTATTGCACTTCACTGTCAACTGGTGCCAGACAGAATGACTGAGGTGGGAAGAGAAAACGGGAAAAGTGCAAATTCAAATAATAAAATACAACACACTGACACATTTGGGTCATAACTTCTACATTTTGTAACTTAGTTAACCTGACGGTAATAAGGTTGACAACACTGCAGGTTGTACAATAGGCCTATCTGAACCATTAGATGGGATGAATGAAAGGCCATGGCTAAACAACAAGTGTTATGTCAGGGGTTTAACATCAGCTCAGGAGTGTGCTGCTGTGTGACTGACGGGTGATGTCATTGAGCCTGACACTGAGCAGCACTCCAACAGAGATGGACCAGAGCAGAGCTGCATAGTCTCTAAAACTGGGGGGGGGGGGGACCCGGGGTAGGGATGGGGGCTGGGAGGTGATCATTGGCCAATGTAAAACATTGCAGAGCCCCTATCAATATGGACTCCAATGTCCTGTTCACAGCCTTGTGATACATTTGGCTCAGTTCATATACTGCTATGTCAACACCACTTAGAACTGTAACATGTAATAATACTAACTGTAAGTCGCTCTGGATAAGAGCGTCTGCTAAATGACTAAAATGTAAAATGTAAATAATGTGCTGAACATTTGAGGTGTGTCAGCCGAAACAATAATGCATGTCTGATGATGACAAGTAAGGAAGCACATGTCGGGTTGCTGCTGACTAACCAACCCTCATTAACCGGTAAACAAACGGTAAAAAAAATTCCAAACAGTCAAATGATTTGACCAACAGAAAATAGCCTACTAATTTCACTCCAGTACCAGCTTTTTGAGGTGCTCTCGCAGTCTTGACAGGTGATAGGCTATTCCGCTCCTCAAACTAGGTTCTGTACGCGTGACAAATAAAATATATACGCAGAAATTTAATTACACTAAATTATGCAAATTAACCATGACCGTTCAAATGTACTAACCGATTACATCCCTAATGACAAGGAATTGTGGTGACGCTAACACACCCTATTTCTGGGGCTCTTTAAATAGATGTTCCAGAAAGTTCCAGCAGGGGAACAGACTATACCTGCCCTGAAAGCACCGGAGTTCAGTGGTGTCTCCCTGTCCTGTTCTGATCGGTTGTTGAACTCACAATGACAACATAAGACACACAGACTGTCTGTCAGCCTGCATGAGGAGGAGGTGGTGCACAAGTGGTTAACCTGTGTTTCAATAACAAAGACCTGCGGGAGGCTAGATTAACAGCATCACACCAGCTGCGCTCAGGCACCTCTACTGTCACCCAGTCTGTCTACCAGGCCTGGCTGGCACAGCACCTACAGACCAGCCTCAAACTCATACTGACTCACACAAACCCTGACACAGCAACAACCTGCCATCTGCAGGGAAGGGTTGCATACTGTGCCCATGGACCCATTTATCACTGAGAAGGGTCATGGTAACATTTGGTGGCACTGCGTTTCTGAGGATAAGTCGGATAGGTTCTCACCTTTTACTTTCTCATCATATTCTAGTTGTGTAATGTGGGACTGTAGATGTGTACACTGGACTAGGACTGCCAGGCATAATGTGTCTGGTTGTGATTCATACAGAGTAATAGTTAGCATACAACCTGCAGGTATTTGTCTAGGCTGAGGCTCATTAATGATGCAGGCCAGGGAGCTCCTTCTCCCTCCAGGGCTACTAGGGGCTGAGGGAGAATCCTCCATCTATCTAGCTAGCTGCTCAGACTTGGAAATGCAGCCAAAACTGAGTTTGCTTTCAGATCACATACCTGACACTGAGGGGAGTTGAATTTAAACTGAAGAAAAAAACAGGGCGGAGCCCTCAAGACACAGACACACACACAGGGCTGAGATGCCGCCTCTTCTTCTGCAGCTGGTATGGTAAGTGACAGGAATAGAGTCTGATAGAGAGAGGGGCAGGGGACAGGGTAGGGGGGAAGCGTTTTAACTGTACACAGCTGTTTGGCACAACCCCCCATGGCTCACCACAACTATTCAGACATTTCACACAATATAATTTGGCAGATTCATTATTTTCTTTAAATAAATCTTTATTACACAACAAAGGCCAAACAACGTACAATTTGGGAATGTAAGCAAAGGATTTTATGCCTCCTCACAAAGCAAATCTTGGAAGACATGTAATTCTAGGCTTTTTGCTACTGGAATTCCCCTAGCTAATGCCCTTGATTCTATAAAGTGCACATGAAGCACAAACATGGAAGCCTACTCAACAAAACAACGTAGCCTAAGCCAGACAACTTGAAACAATTCAAACGTGCTCTCTTGCTGCACACAAGTCAAATGCTAATTTGTTGTTGACATATCCAGGTAACCCAGTTACCGGTTTTGACTGAATCAGGCCGGATGGTGTAGTGTAGAGAAGAGAAAGCACATGGGTCAACTTCTCAATGTCTCCTCTGTCAATACCCCGCCCACAGCTTGGCTTGGCCTGGCCCACTGCTAATCAGCTAACACAAACCACATTTCCAGGAAGGGCATGCACCTTTATCAATGGTGAGACACACCCTCCACAACCCGAAACGGCCTGCACCGCATTCTTTCACTCATGTGTAGCAGCCTGGGTGACTTTCAATGACATACACACAGAAATATAATAGCCTACAGACAGAGATGGCCTACTCTCAGACAATACATTCTGACCAAAGTTATTCATTTGACTTCTTGGACAAATTCTCTTCATCAAATTAAGAAAACAGCCAACAGTTCTAAGTCGAAAGTTGTGTAAAAGTATTTTAAGAGCCCATTAAAAGGGCTATTGGGGTGATAGGTTAAAGACAAATGTCAGGGTGAATAAGCGGGAACTCTCCTTTATCATTATTACAGACGAGACAAAAACAGAGATAGCTAGCTACCCATTTAATTGTATGGTTGAAATTCTATTACACAGATAGTTGCACATCAGTTCCTGTACCCGCCAGTTTAGGGTGCCATTTAGTATGGCACTGATGACATCACAGCAGCTTAACTATCCCTCATTGGCTGGAGGGATGCCCTGACCTTGCTGCTATTGGTCGGTGGTATGGAACTCTGTAGGCAGTGCGTATGAAGTAACGATCCCTAACTGAATTGAACAGTAGACAATGGAGCTCTGCTGCAGCTATACTACAGCAGCAGCCCTACAGCCAAACACTATTCATCCCTCAGTTCCATTTAGAGCTGCCTGCCTGGCCACTGTGGGTGACATCAGCAGCACAGGACACTCACACGCAAACACACTACAAAGGCTACCATCTCCCTAAAGATAAGCCTGGCCTTATCCAAGCCCAGAACAGAACACATACTACTACTCTTCAAGATATGCAAGGCTATTATTCAAGAGATTCCATTTATAAAACCTGACTGATGATTACATTTTAGTTATTTAGCAGACGCTCCTATCCAGAGCGACTTAGTGAGTGCATAAATTTTTTCATACTGGTCCCCCGTGGGAAACGAACCCACAACCCTGGCGTTGCAAGCGACATGCTCTATCAACTGAGCTACACGGGACTACATGATGACGGGACTATGATGAGTTGTGTTTGAAACAAGCCTAGTTGGAGGCTCAAACAATTGTGGTGACATTTGTACGATGATGACACACTGATGCCTTGTCAGACAAGGCCCTGGAGAATTTCACCAATGTTCTTTAAAATGACCAGTGCATATCATTCTACAAAAAATACAGAGCCCACATGGCTGATAAATCAAAGGGAATGTATGTAGGCTGAATATTCATTTGAACCCCTAGATATGATACCTCATCTTTATAGTCTTTCTGAATAAAGCCTATGCCAAAGCATTTGAGGGAGTCGTATATCTGACTGATGTTACTCGGCGTGGACACTGGACAGATCTCTCTCAATGGGAGTATCCTCCTGTCCTATAACATCAGTCATTCCACAATGGTCTAGACAGATTTACATGCTCTTCCTCCCCCATGTGCTCCCTCTATGCTGGGGGCTGGAGGAAAAGATTTTCATTCAACATGAAAACAGCTAGCAGGCATGCCCACAGTGCACTCTCCATCTCCTCTGCACATTGAAAGTGTTACACTGACCGGACCCAAATAATTAAGCTCAGAGTCAGACAGATGTTGAATTAGAGCAAAATTCTTCTGTCTACATCAAATTTCCATGGCCAGGCTAACATGATGAGCGCACGCTAAGCAGGCACTGTGAATGTGTGTTAAACCAGGTAAAACTAACACCATTATACACACCAACCTGGAGGAGGCTGGAAAGTCAGTTGTTTATAATAATAATAATATGCCATTTCGCAGACGCTTTTATCCAAAGCGACTTACAGTCATATGTGCATACATTTTTATGTATGGGTGGTCCCGGGGATCGAACCCACTACCCTGGCGTTACAAGCACCATGCTCTACCAATTGAGCTACAGAGGACCATTTAGTAATGAGGTTGTGTCCTCTCCTCTCACAGACCTGGTGTTGGGTTACCTACCCCTTGGCAATAGCTGGACTGGTGGGTTTTGGCACATGCCGGCTTAAGGCCTTTTATTCTGCATTAAATATGACATGTAAGCCGACAGCGGGGGAGCATGAGCAAGACTTGACAGAAGAGAGACGTAAAAAAGGAGAGAGTGAGAAAAAAGGGAGAGAGTGTTAGCGCCACAGCTGCCGCAAAGTGCCGCGCTTATTTATCTGCCGGGTGTCCTCGTCTGAGTTTACTTTGCCACGGCAGCATGATGAGAGAGAGAGAGAAAGAAGAGAGAAGAGAAGAGAGGAGAAGAGACAGAGAGAGATGAGAGAGAAGAGAGAGAGAGAAGAGAAGAGAGAGAGAGATCGCTGAGAGGAGATTTCACGATCTCTCTCTTCTCACGATCTGCTCTTTCTCTTACTCGCTCCTGCTACTCTCTTCGCTCTCTCTCCTCTCTCCATCTCCTCTTCATCTCTCTCACCCTCTCTCTCTCGCTCTCTCGCTCATCTCTCTCTCTCGCCCTCCTCTCTCCTTCTCTCCTCTCTCTTCCTCTCTCTCTCTCTCTCTCCCTCCTCCTATTATCCATCTATGTCGCTTCTCTCTCTCTTCCTCTTTTCAATTTTCTCGTATCCTTCTAATCCACCTTCGTAGCTCATCTCATTCTTCTCACCTTCTTTCCACCTACTCATTCTCCACGCCCATCTCTTCTCCCTCCCTCTTTAGAGAGATTTTTACAAATACAAAAAGAGGGATGAAAAAGGTTTACAGAGCAACGGATGAGTAATGATACCAGCCAGGTGACTGACTGAGCTGTGGGAAGCAGCAGACAGACTGCCACAAGGCCACAGTGAGTCACTCCTCACCCACCATCCTACCTCTCATCATCCATTACCATCACCACTACCTTTACAAACCATTAAACCATGTCTCTCCTACTCTCTTATCATTGTCACAAATCACATGAAAACCCCTAACTAAATCTTAAATGGCACTACAGTGGAGCATGCTCTGCATACTTCTGTTACGTAACACTGGGAAGCAGACAGGAAATCTAGACTGACAGAGGCACGAACCACATGCAGCTCTATAATAGATTAGTTAGTGCTGAGCCGAGCAGCTCCTGGTTCCAGATGCACTGGAGTGGCTGGATCAAATGGATACCCACTACACTACAGCCTGACTTGCAGATAGTGCTACAGTAGTGGTGCACTGTGTGGAACAGGGATAAACATCAGCAAGACTCCATAGAAACTAAAGAGAAAGTTAACCTCATAAGAGGTTTTCAGATAGTGACATAATGAATGACATCTCTGTAACGGTTTGTGATCTAAGAAATCTGTAATCTGTGTACAAGAAAGCTGCAAGTAAATTCAATTTAGATTTTTGGTGTTACTTGTCATTGCCAACTTCTGCTTCAGCACTCTAGAAGCAGCAGTAAAGCTACAGTGTACCCACTACTGCAGCTGCTCTCCTCTACTCACTCAGCAGGAATCACTGACAAACTGAAAGGAAATCATCCCTTTCACAAAGCTGTAGCCTAGCTAAGCCTGGTGGCTACGAATGAGATTCCAGGTCAAGATGCAACTGCACTCTCTCTCCCTGGCTATAATCAAAGCTTATGTTACGACTAATAGGCTAAACCGCAAATCAGACACTTTCCCCGACCCCCGTGTTAAGCTCTCATAACCTGAGCGAGCCGCAGACCCATGCATCCATCTGCTGACTTAACCTGAGGTTTGCTTTTCCTCTCTTCCTTCAAGGGAACAAGGGCACCTTGCTCAGCACAAAAGCCCCCGTGTCCTGCAGGGATTCAAGGAAGGGCAGGATGTGCTGATGCTTAAAGGGGGTCCAGCTCCAACCTGCTCTATTACTCCACAACAGGAAGCAGGAGCCCATTGTCTAACAGACTGACCACGGGCCGGGGGGACATGTTACCAGCACCAACCCAGGGGTGAGGAAAACGGGTGCCCTGGTCTGACAGATATAAGGGAAGAGGGGGGAAAAGGAGAGCGATAAAAATAGGAATTCCGAGTGGAGTCCAGCCACTGGTCCAGCCAGTTCTGCTGACTGAGGGTTGGTTTCCGGATAGTTTAGTGGCTTTTCCTTTTTGTGAAATGCTTTGCTGCTTTATTGTACGTTCGGGTGGCCTACACTGAGGAATGTCAAGTGTTCAGCAATTCCATATCCTCACAAGCATGTCACGAGATATCAGCTGCTTACCAGGTGAGAGTTCAAAGTTCACCACACAAACCTTTTAAGGTGTCGTTTTAAAGAGCGCAGCCATAAAAAGTCCTTTCAAGGTTTTTTAACACCTATTACACACTAAACAAAGTTTAGTGGTGGGGTAAAATGTAATGTCTTCCATTTAAATGCCATTGGACGAGGGTTATTGCTGTGGTAAAATGCATAAATACTTTAAAGCAGTGAGCAGAGTCATGTAGGAGGTGAAATGTACAGTATGTGACCTTGAGTAGGGCATCTCATTTTCAGCTGAACTGGTTACATTGTTGTAATTTGTTCAAGCTGCATAAATAGAGATAATGAGATGCATGTTCTGTTCTCTGCTAGCAGCCCTAGTATGATAATATAGGCTACTACAGGTAGGGTCACATCAAGCAGATATATGTTCTTACAGATGCTCCCAGGACCATTGTTCATGTAATCAAAAACATTTTATGAAGAGAGACAACTAGCCATCTCTTGAATAAAGTGGGAAGGAATACAAAGATAGTGGCCTTATCGAAGTGAAACATTGCCTAGATATTTGATAAGCGCTTAGATATTTATTGACACATCCCGTTTTTCCTCTCTCAATATAAACAAACACTTGGCACAGGCGAGGAAAACTTGACTCATCACACCCTCCTCTGTTACAGAATACTATTTGCAAGGGAAGCCTTTGTCAACACAGGGCCAGGCACAATGTCTTCACTCAGTGAATAGGAGTCCAACATGCATTATGTTCAAGGTACTAGCTCCAACTCCCAGGAAAACCAATTGAGTGTGTGTGTGGTGTGTAAAAAATAACAATGCCTGGAAAAACAGTCAGACCCCTTGTACCTCAGAGAGTAAAAGTCCAGTTCTATATAGCCCGGGGACACTAAACAGCCAGCTGTATAAATGGTTGATTTATAAAAATGCAAGCTATGCAAGTGGCCCTGGGTGAGTGAGGCCAAGACAGAGGACACCCGCAAAGGGAGAGCAAATCAAGTGGATGGGAGGCTTTCATGTATAGGCCCAGTGGTGCAGTTCACCATGGGGTTCCCTCAGCCTCTGGGGTCAGTCTGGGTGAACTTAAGTGTGCTTTAAAGCAGACCGTACTGCTGCTGCTGGCTGAACAAATAGCCTTTATCTGGTCCGTCTGTAGAAGTCATGGACCTGACTGAGTTTGGCTGGCTGGGTCTCTGTGGCTGTACTGGGCTGGACTGGACGTGTGTGTGAGAAAACATCCAACCATCCTACCCACTGGAGCACCGTGACGTCACAGAAGCAGATACGAGAGGCTGACGTTAAAGGAGTCAGTGACTGACTCAGATCATGTGACCACACTGCATCAATGGGCTCAGAGTAAGGCTTGGGTAGTTTCCTGGGAGCTAGCTAGCTCTCCTGTGTGTGTGGAGCCTAATACCTACCGCCCCAGATACATGACAGCACAGCAGAGATTTATGAAGACACTCCAGAAGGAGTGTGTGGATATAAACCTGACAGGGAAGCTGACAGATGATCACAACAGGCCTCTGCTATGCATTTCATTATGTAAACAGTTGACCTACACTGAAGGGAACCTTTGGCTCTTCATTTCCAATTACAGCCCACATGAATGGCCCAGTTGAAGGACAATGTGTGGGAAATATTCTGCATGATCCGCTGCTCATACCTCGCTCTACACTATCCGTGAAACACGCATGAAACAGCATATGCAGGTAATGCATTAGTGATGGCAGCTGGACTCCCCAGGGTATATATCAGTCAAATACAATGACTGAAGTGCCAATGACACAGAAATCAGAGGATACATAGGCTATTTCAGAAATAACCTCCCCACTTCTTATTAAACTAAACTTCTGTGCTGCGGGCGCTGTTAGGCCACAGAAACTAGTAAATAAATGCAATGCATTGTGCGAGTACAATATCCTTCTCTGGCTTTGCACTGAAAATGCTTTGATGTCTAGAATAACTTGACACGCACCGCAGGTCAATGTGAATTCTACACACACACACACACTATTGGTAATTTCAGTCAAAATCTATAATTCAGAGGCTGAGTACTAGTATTAAGTCTCACTCAGGATGCATGAGAAAGAGGTGGTGGATCTGGTGCACAACACCCCTGCCTCCCACACCCTACAGCTACAAATTACAGTGCCAGTTTAGCTCAATCTCAATGCACAGAATAGCCAGTACAGTATCTAACAGTCCCACCTTCCTCTTATCTTCTGGAACACCCACTCCTGCAATTAGAGACCTGTCAAAGGCATCAAAGACTCACCATAAACTGTACATTATAATTCCACAGACTAAAGGCCTTTACAGAGGCTTGTCTACATCGGACTTGATGTATGAATAACTAAAGCTATATTTAGATAAAGTTGACTAATCAAATGTAGCTTCAGTAGCTAACAAAACAGGCACATTAGTGATATGGAGTGCTATTAGGGCCAGGACGATACCAGTATCTTGATAATCATTACTATCGTGGCAAAGAAAAACAAAACATGAAGCAGATTGAACTTCATTAGGAAAACAGCCCCAACGTTGGAAACCAACATCATTATGTTGTTATCCAGAGTCACATTTATTTATTTTCCAAGATATATCACACAATATTTTACATACAGAGTTATGTCTGCTTCGGGTTTTCATTTTTGCCACAGAAAAAATATTGCGATACTGGTACCGTCCCAGCCCTAAATGCTATTGCTGTGAGTGCACTGTGCAGCAGTAAAGGCTGGAGTGGATACTAGGTCTTGTGTTTGGGACTATGCCTGCAGGGTTAATTTGTGTTAACGTCACCATTCCCGTCTGCACAAAACTAGTGGACAGCCCTCCAATAACTTTGGCTCACAGTGACAGAAAGTGAGAGAAATATTTTTTCCACCTCTTCAACATCTGTGGTTAGCCATAATCCCCCAGAGAATATCCTATCATTTTACACCACAGATTGAAATACTGAGAAATTACAGTAGCGATTCCCTTCAGATACCATACAATATCCATGAGAGAAGAGAAACTAGAATCAAAGTAATAGCAAAAACAGCACTACTTCAGATGTAGAGGCAAAACTGCACAATTTAACAACAAAAGTGATGTAGTCTCAGTCACAAGCAGTGCTTTGTGTCTATGTAAGTATTGTAGTAAAGCTATCATTCTGACTGAAAAATAAATACTACATCTTTCCATCTATGCTTCTAATGACGGGTTGTGTGCGCGAGACATGCTTTAAAACAAACCAACTTTGCATTGTGTCTAGCAACAAATAAACACAATGTAAAAAAATATTTTTCAGAAACCAAGATGTAGGAAAATCACATGTCTCGTTCTGAATCTGAGGCTCCACAAAAACACCAAAGAGACTGATTTATTCATTAGATAGCTCACTTAGAGATCTTGCAAGCCAGTAGTCTTGACAAAATACATGCGCTCCAAGGAGCATACATGTTTTCCACTTCCTTAACTTGACCTACTGTGAGTTTCAAAGTCACCATGCCATGATGTAGCCTATATCAGGCAAAACCACAAACACTCCCAGTCACACATATTGCCTAATAGAGGAAGGCTTTTTCATTGGTCTGAGTCTTTACCACTCCATGTTGTCTACTCTGTCAGATGTCATTTGTGGAGCATTTTAGTGCTTGGGGTAACTGTCCACTGAAAATATGCTATAGCCAAACTGCCCAAGATTTTAAACTTCTTTCACAGTAATCAAACTTATCTGTGATATGGAAAATCATTAGTCAGTATGCATTCATACAAAAGTACATGACAAAGCCTTGTCTGCTTACGTGTTAAGGTGTGTCATGCACCTTCTGATGACATGCTCTCATACTATCAAGGTGTGTATACTCAGGAGGTAATGTCCATTCACTACTACCAGGAAAGCACTAGAATCGTGAGTCAGGCAGCCCACTTAACCTAATCACCATGAATGAAAGGATATGCATGATACTGTTAGGGACGGAAAGGATGAAACGTTGCCTATTATTGAGTACTTACATTGAGGGAAATTACTATCAGGCTTGGTGTTAGCTAGAGACCTCACTCAGCTGGTTGAACTAGACCTGCTTATTCAAAACTGAGGCAAGAACAAACGCAAATGGAAATGAAACTCAACTCGCTTGATAGTTCAGATGTGTGACTGGAAGAATGTTAGCTAAACTAGCTAGGTGGCTGGCTATCTTTAGCGAACTAATATTTGATCCGGGTTGAATGGTCATCAAATTTAGCTAGCTAACGTTATTTGTACATGCGGCAAAACACCAAACCATCCGGCATCGTAGTTAGCGATTGATGGTTTATTGCTGAATTGGTATTAATTTACTTCCGTAACAAGGTAACGTTATCTAGCTAGCAAGGCACTACGACACATACGTGAGTAGCTAGTTAGTAGATTTAGGCTAACGTTAGCTGGTCTGTGGTTAGTTGGCAAATTAGCTATATTTTATTTAGCTAGCTAACGTTAGCTAACTTCAACAATAAGTTATCGGCCTACTACTAACGACCTACCCGTCCATGCCAATGCCATGGGTAAGGCAACTTGCTAGTTAGAAACGATATCTATATAGTTACTGTATCTAGCTAACTAATGTCAAACATCGCGCGTCAGCGTCCCAGGGTGCCGGGCGACGATGTCATGATTAGCTAACTAGCTAACTTAGTTAGCCAACATTTATGTTGAG